TTGCGTGCAGGGATAAATGTGCAGAACAACCGCCATAAAACATAAGCGCAAAGGGCGGCATTTATTCTTAGCACCTGCCTTTTATATTTAAAGTTCAAGGCGGAATTACCTTGCTTATCAAGGTCTATTTCCACAGTCATAATTATGTAAGCCGTCGTACTGTCCCCCAAGGTCATACATCACTTTTATTTCAGCCGAAGCGTTAGAGACCGCTCTAGACTGGCTGCCAAACACAACCAAGCCAATCTGTTGTACTGGCCCCCAAGGTCATATATCACTTTTATTTCAGCTGAAACGTTAGAGACCGCTCTAGACCGCCGCCAAACCTAACGGCGCAAATTTGCCATCCAGTTACTGAGAGATTTCTGTGATACTTACTCAGTCTACTGTCTTCAACAAATCTGCTCAAATTCTTCAACTTATACAATACTACTTACTAGTAACAATACTGACCAAAAGATGATAGATGCCTGCTACCACTGCGCACCCCAGGACAGATTATAATCACTGGGTGCCTAACCCAGTAAACATGTCTAAACAAACCAGTTAGCAAGGAATAATCACCAGGCTACCAGGTGCATAACCCGTCTACCAGGTTCCCTAGACCGGGTTATCAATGGGTTATTATAATATGTTTTTTGTCCAAATCACCTGTTACCGATAACTTGTTTGACAAATTTTTTTAAACCATTAACATGTTATCATTCACCCAGTGAAATAACTCAGTAAACAGATTGTTTTAACTAGATTGTAAGGGCTTTGTATAGCTCAAAAAGCTAATCCAAATGAACTATCATTTCATTTATTATTGACAATGCCTTCTATTAGGTGCCTGTTTTCCCGGGCTGTTTCTGAAGCACTCTTGAACTGATGAAAGTTTTACATGTGTAGTTTTTTCACCTTAGCAAGGTTTGAACTCCGGACTTAGCTGTTTTTTTTTGCAGGGGGCCCTTCTACATGTACACAACTTACCACTTCACCATCAGAGACAACAGGGTCAAGGAAATTTATGCATTTTATACAGCTATTTACAGGTGCACATATATCTTCACAAATCACTCACTACATTCAAAAAATGGGAAGTCCATTTAAATGGGAAAGGGAGGTAGAGTATGTTCACAGAGTCTGGTGTGGTTTGATGCTCAAAAGTCTAGAATATATAAAGATCCCGCAGCTCAGTGGCTTTGTGTGCATCCAAGTGTGC